CACTTCAGTTTGAAGACCCATTTGAGCCCTATGGCACGGTGTCCCGGCGGCATATCCTCCAGACTCCACGTCTGGTTCTCAGTGATGGATGTCATCTCCTCTTGCATTGCCTTCAACCAGTACGGGTTCCTTTCTGCTTCGGTGAAGGTGTTCGGTTCATCTGCACTGATGACATGTAGTTCGGCCACTTCTTCGAGCTCGCATGCTGCCAGTCTAGGTGGTTCAGCTCCTCCTACTAGGTCGTCCATCTTCCGGTACCTGGCCTCCAGATCGGCATCGTTATCGGCATCTAGCGTCGAATCCGCATCCATCTGGTGAACCTCCCAAGAGTAATGTGCCGCAATTGCCAACAAAAGACGGACGGATTCTAACCTTGCCACTGGCGCAAATACCTCTTCGAAGTCCTTCGCCACCAGACGGGCCTTGTGCTTCACAACTTCTCTTTTTTCGTTGCACTTCAGTTTGAAGACCCATTTGAGCCCTATGGCACGGTGTCCCGGCGGCATATCCTCCAGACTCCACGTCTGGTTCTCAGTGATGGATGTCATCTCCTCTTGCATTGCCTTCAACCAGTACGGGTTCCTTTCTGCTTCGGTGAAGGTGTTCGGTTCATCTGCACTGATGACATGTAGTTCGGCCACTTCTTCGAGCTCGCATGCTGCCAGTCTAGGTGGTTCAGCTCCTCCTACTAGGTCGTCCATCTTCCGGTACCTGGCCTCCAGATCGGCATCGTTATCGGCATCTAGCGTCGAATCCGCATCCATCTGGTGAACCTCCCAAGAGTAATGTGCCGCAATTGCCAACAAAAGACGGACGGATTCTAACCTTGCCACTGGCGCAAATACCTCTTCGAAGTCCTTCGCCACCAGACGGGCCTTGTGCTTCACAACTTCTCTTTTTTCGTTGCACTTCAGTTTGAAGACCCATTTGAGCCCTATGGCACGGTGTCCCGGCGGCATATCCTCCAGACTCCACGTCTGGTTCTCAGTGATGGATGTCATCTCCTCTTGCATTGCCTTCAACCAGTACGGGTTCCTTTCTGCTTCGGTGAAGGTGTTCGGTTCATCTGCACTGATGACATGTAGTTCGGCCACTTCTTCGAGCTCGCATGCTGCCAGTCTAGGTGGTTCAGCTCCTCCTACTAGGTCGTCCATCTTCCGGTACCTGGCCTCCAGATCGGCATCGTTATCGGCATCTAGCGTCGAATCCGCAGTCTGTGGTGTTGCGAATTCCACTGGTTTAGGGGGTGCACCTGCTGGCGGTGATGATGGCTCCTAATGCTAGGCTCCTCCTTCTTCTGGCTCGAGGACGAGGTACTCCACCGTGAATTGATTTGGATTATGATCTACCTCGTTAACGTCATTCCACTACTAAAAGGTTCTTTCGTCGAAGATGACGTCGCAAGACACGTGAGCTCCCCCCTACAAGATCATAGAGTCTGTACGCCTTGCTTTCGGGTTCATAGCCGATGAAGACAACCTTCAGCCCCCTGGGATCGAGCTTGGCGAGGTGGGGATGTGTTACCTTCATGTATGCGATGCAGCCAAACACGCGGAATGATGTACTGTTGGCTTTTTGTTGTATCAGGCCTCATATGGCGTCTTCCCATTGAGGCTTTGGGTTGGTGACCGATTAAGGAGATAGACGGCCGTCATTACCACCTCTCCCTAGAATCTCCCATGCATCCCGGCCGTCACTAGCAATGTCCTCGCTGTTCCGACGATGGTCTGATTTTGGCGCTCCACCACTCCGTTCTGTTGGGGGGAGTAAGGCGCCGTTAGGTGCCGTTGTATGCCAAACTCGTCGCAGTACTTATCGAAACTTGCTAAGGTGAATTCTTCGTCTTGGTCTGTGCGCAGCACTTGCATCTTCTTCTCACATTCAGCCTCCGCTCGCGCTTTAATGCGCTTAACCGCCTCTGTCGCCTCACTTTTCACTTTTCACTTACAGCAGGGTCAGCCACATGAAGTAGTTTTTGTCATCGACTAATAGAAGGAAGAGACTCTTACGAGGTGAATTCTCTGTGCCTCGGTCTGTGCGCAGCACTCGCATCTTCTTCTCACATTTGGCCCCCGCCACCTCACTTTTCACGCCTAAAGTGCCCGTACCTTGCGTGCCACCTCCAAGATACCTCTTCGGTCTTGGCCGAGAGGCTGACGAATTGCTCTATCTCTAAATCCAGGGTAAATACGGGTTTTTGTGCGTCGAACCTGCGTGAGCGGCCATCGTCGATGGAAATAAAGCAGCCTGCCTCATCGAGTTGGCCCAGGCTAACCTAGCTCCAACGGCTCATAGGCACCCGTCGCACAGCTTGTTCACGCCTTAAGTGCCCGTACCCGCCGAACCTGCGTGAGCAGCCTGCCTCATTGAGTTGGCCCAGGCTCACAAGGTTAGCCTTGAGCCTCGGGATGAAGTAGAGGTTGGGGAACGCAGATCTCCCTGATCACTCTCGCTCAACGAGAACTCGACGCCCGTCATCACGGCGACAGCATGGAGGAGTGAGTGAGCCTACACGGGATGAGAACCAACGATGTGTGTGTTTTCACGCTTTGCATTTTCTTCTACTTGAACCTGAGACCTGTGTGTTGTTAGGTCGACGCTCTAACCACTTGAGCTATTCAACTTAAATGTTGATAAGATTGGCTCTTCTGTAATGATATACCACCGATCGCTTCAACCAGGCTCTGATACCACTTGTTGACTCTGGCAATTCGGAGGAAAACATTGACGAAAAAATGGCCGAAGAAGGTTTCTTCGAAAGAAAAAATAGCGGAAGTAAAAGGAAAGAGAGAGAGATTTGCTGAAGACTTGATGTTTTATTTCTCTTCATTTGAGGACGATGAATCTGTCAATGATTTTTCCATGCGGATCACGGGGCTCGCCAACAACATCACCATTCTCGGTGGGAGCATCAGCAAGACGGAGATCATGAAGAAGATGCTGTAGGTCACTCCAAATCACCTTGAGCAAGTCGCGATTTCGATGGAGACATTGCTTCACATGAACAACCTATAGTGAAAGAGGTAACTGGAAGATTGCGCATCATCGAGCAGAGGAAGAAGAATGTCGCTTCAGCTATCGGCAAGCAGGGTTGTCTTCTCCTCATTGAGGAGGACCGGTTTGCATGTTGAATAAACATTAAATGCCATTTTTAGTTAATTTGTTAGTAGATTTGAAATTGAAACATTAGTGGTGAAAGAAAAGGTCAAGAGCCTTTATATGAATAGTGGCCATTTATGGGTGACATTCTCATAGCTATAATTATATTTAGAAAAGCTTATAAATAGGTTGTTGAGCAGAGAAAAAAAAAAGAAAAGAAATAGGGAAGTAATAGAAGAAGGTTTTTTTAGTTAAATAGAGTGTTATTTGTTTCCTTCTATTATCGTTCGTGTTTGAGATTTATTTCACAAATTTGTTAGATTTCTTTAAGAAATTGGTATTAGAGCCCATGGCTGACAGGTCAAATGCTGCTACTGCGACTAACGAAGACAAACTACGAGAATTGGAGCATTCAAATGAAAGCTCTTCTCGACTCTCAAGATGCATGGGAGGTGGTTGAAGAAGGGTTCGAAGAACCAAAAGATACTACGGGTTATACAGCGGCACAAAACAAGTTGTTAAAAGAGGTGCGATCAAAGGATAAGGCGGCACTATACATGTTGTTTTGAGTTGTTGATGAGACGGCTTTGAGAAGATTGCCAGAGCAACTACTTCCAAAGAAGCGTGAGACACTTTAGGAATAGTGTTCAAAGGAACCGACCGAGTCAAGCAAGTGTGTCTCCAAACTCTTTGTGGCGAGTTGAAGCGCATGAAGGTGAAGCAGTCGGATAGTGTATCTGACTACATCACGCGTGTACAGACTGTGGTAATCCAACTCAACCGAAACGGAGATATGTTAGTCGAGACGCGAGTTGTGGAGAAGATCTTGAGATCATTAACCAACAATTTTGAGAATGTTGTATGCGCGATAGAAGAGTCAAAGGACCTAGCGTCGTTCACGGTCGACGAGCTAGCCGGTTCTCTCGAGGCACACGAGCAACGTAAGAAGAAGGAGGAGGAAACACTCAATCAAGCACTTAAGACCAAGGCGTCAATCAAAGATGAAAGGACACTCTATTCTCAAAATTTTTCAAGGTAGAGGCTTTGGTCGTGGAAGTCGTGGAAACGGTGGCAGTGGTCCAGGCAGTGGTCCAGGCAGCAGTCATGACAGATACTATAAGGAGAAGGGACACTCGAGCCAAGCAAATTGGCATGGAAGAGGACGCAGTCGTGGAAGAGGCGGTCGATCAATTTACTCCAACATTTAATGCTATAAATGTCACAAATATGGTACTATGGGAATGATTGTAACTTTGAAAAATGTTACAATTGTGGTAGAGTGAGACATTTTGCAAAAGATTGTCGAGCCGATAAAAAGGTGGAAGAAACAATCAACCTAGCCTTGGATGACGCAACAAACGAAGATCTTCTCTTGATGGCTCAAAATGAAGATCTGAAAGCGAAAAGACACGGTGCCGCGAAAGACGATGGCAGTAGTTGTGAGGCGTTGGAAGTCGTTGGAAATGAGGGGATACACAGCGGATTTGGAAAAATTGCGATATCGAAGGCGAGGAAATCGAAGGACTCCGTATTGAACACGGATCGGCGAACGAGCCAAAGAAACTGGCGGATCATCAGGAGGAGAACAGAGATTCAGAGTGACAACCAAAATCTGCTGTTGATAAATCTATGGAGAAGTCTCAGTTGTAGACGATGAAATTGCTGAACGAGCGTCTTTCGAAGGAGAAAGTAGATGTTGAAAAAGAAAACAAAGCTTTAAAAATGAAGATTGAAAGGTTAGAGAAGGAAGTGACTGAGCTGGTGAGAGTTCTTTCTATCTCAAATAGTAGAAGGAAGAGAATGGGAATGAAATTTAAGCAAACATTCTCAATAACAATATCAAACGTTCAACTTTCTTCCATTTGTAACCAAAAGAAAAGTGAGAAATTAGAAATCTTGAAAGTTCAGACTTTATTTATTCAAAGTAAATTTGTAAAAGTGCAATACATCCATTGCATAACATGAAAAGAAAGGCGGAAATGAAAGAAAGTGCAATGCATTCCATTGCTTAACATGAAAACAAAGGCGGAAATGAAAGAAAATATATGAAATCAACAATAGCAATGACATACATGATGACTCCCAACAAGCTTACAAAATCCTCCTTTCACACATCCAGAGGTGCAGTAAGTCCAACATTTGCCATTAGCTTGATCATCTACTCCAGGCTTGCAATCTCCCAAACTAGGATGGTTGTTACAACACTGAGCAGTTGCATTCAAACTCCCTGTAACTCTACTCATTAATTTTCAATAAGAAAAAAAATAAAACTAAAAATTTATTTGATAAGAAAAGTTAGACCTGAATATAAAATGAGAAAGGTAATGAAGAAGCCCGTGAACATTGCTCCTACTTTAGTCATTTCTCTTGATTGTATTGTAAAAAAATTGTTGAAATGTGTGATGTAGTTGCAAGGGAAGATGGTGGATTTTTATTGTAAAATTTTGATGACAAACTTTATAACAAACCCTATTAATGGCCCTATCTGTATAAAACTTTGAAAGGAAAATATGTAAATTATTTTTAAACCTACTCAATCAAATTAAACATGATTTTTTACCATATAAATATCAAATTTTAAAAGGAAAATAGCTAAATTATTTTTAAACCTACGTGGTGTTATTATTTTTAAACCCTTAAAATGCCACTTAAATTTGTGGGATTATGTGGCAAATATGCAAGTTTGAATTAACCAATTTTTTACCTTCAAAATTCCACTAACTCAAACATGATTTTTCCATGAAGTGAAGTCAACATTTTGACTTTCTCCTTTCAATAATTAATTTGAATAGTTAATTTCAAATTAAAGTAATATTAAATGATTAATTAAACTATTTAATTAATAATTAATTTGAATAGTTAATTTCAAATTAAAGTAATATTAAATGATTAATTAAACTATTTAATTAATATTAATTTAAATACCAATCTCAATAATTAAAGTAATATTAAATGATTAATTAAACTATTTAATTAATATTAATTTAAATACCAATCTCAATCGATTCCGACACATACTGATTAAAATATTTAAATTTTATTTAAATATCTCCGATTCTCTCTTTTCGTTTAATTCGTAAATAAAACAAAAATGAGATTAAATTTTATTTAAATATCTCCGATTCTCTCTTTTCGTTTAATTCGTAAATAAAACAAAAATGAGATTAAATATATCGTATATATTAAACACATATTCCTTTCGTTTAATTCGTAAATAAAACAAAAATGAGATTAAATATATCGTATATATTAAACACATATTCCCTAATTTATATGGTAAAAAATTGTTGAAATGTGTGATGTAGTTGCAAGCGAAGATGGTGAATTTTTATTGTAAAATTTTGAGGACAAACTTTATAACAAACCCTATTAATGACCCTGAAGATGGTGAATTTTTATTGTAAAATTTTGAGGACAAACTTTATAACAAACCCTATTAATGACCCTATCTATATAAAACTTTGAAAGGAAAATAACAAATCCTATTAATGACCGTATAAAACTTTGAAAGGAAAATATGTAAATTATTTTTAAACCTATTAGATCAATTTAAACATGATTTTTTACCATATAAATATCAAATTTTAAAAGGAAAATAGCTAAATTATTTTTAAACCTACTAAATCTGGTGGTGTTACTATTTTTAAACCCTTAAAATGCCACTTAAATTTGTGGGATTATGTGGCAAACATGCAAGTTTGAATTAACCAATTTTTTACCTTCAAAATTCTACTAACTCAAACATGATTTTTCCATGAAGTGAAGTCAACATTTTGACTTTCTCCTTTCAATAATTAATTTGAATAGTTAATTTCAAATTAAAGTAATATTAAATGATTAATTAAACTATTTAATTAATATTAATTTAAATACCAATCTCAATTGATTCCGACACATACTGATTAAAATATTTAAATTTTATTTAAATATCTCCGATTCTCTCTTTTCGTTTAATTCGTAAATAAAACAAAAATGAGATTAAATATATCGTATATATTAAACACATATTCCCTAATTTATATGGTAAAAAATTGTTGAAATGTGTGATGTAGTTGCAAGCGAAGATGGTGAATTTTTATTGTAAAATTTTGAGGACAAACTTTATAACAAACCCTATTAATGACCCTGTCTGTATAAAACTTTGAAAGGAAAATAACAAATCCTATTAATGACCGTATAAAACTTTGAAAGGAAAATATGTAAATTATTTTTAAACCTATTCAATCAATTTAAACATGATTTTTTACCATATAAATATCAAATTTTAAAAGGAAAATAGCTAAATTATTTTTAAACCTACTAAATCTGGTGGTGTTACTATTTTTAAACCCTTAAAATGCCACTTAAATTTGTGGGATTATGTGGCAAACATGCAAGTTTGAATTAACCAATTTTTTACCTTCAAAATTCCACTAACTCAAACATGATTTTTCCATGAAGTGAAGTCAACATTTTGACTTTCCCCTTTCAATAATTAATTTGAATAGTTAATTTTAAATTAAAGTAATATTAAATGATTAATTAAACTATTTAATTAATATTAATTTAAATACCAATCTCAATCGATTCCGACACATACTGATTAAAATATTTAAATTTTATTTAAATATCTCCGATTCTCTCTTTTCGTTTAATTCGTAAATAAAACAAAAATGAGGTTAAATATATCGTATATATTAAACGCATATTCCCTAATTTATATGGTAAAAAATTGTTGAAATGTGTGATGTAGTTGCAAGGGAAGATGGTGAATTTTTATTGTAAAATTTTGAGGACAAACTTTATAACAAACCCTATTAATGACCCTGTCTGTATAAAACTTTGAAAGGAAAATAACAAATCCTATTAATGACCGTATAAAACTTTGAAAGGAAAATATGTAAATTATTTTTAAACCTATTCAATCAATTTAAACATGATTTTTTACCATATAAATATCAAATTTTAAAAGGAAAATAGGTAAATTATTTTTAAACCTACTAACGTGCGGAAGCAATTTGGATCATAGGCACTCTAAGTACATCAATTATAGTAAATTAGCTAGCATGTTCAAAAGCATTAAAACTCAATGAGTTTGAATACTAACCTTTTGTGGTTCAAATTTCTTTTTCCACACGAATCGATTTCGAACCAGCATTAGTGTTTTCTCTACTATTCTTCAGCCTTAGAACAGGATTCTGGAATCCGGTGAGTGACTAAACTTGGAAGGGATTTAGTATATATAAAGAGAGTTTGTGAGAGTTTTTGTCAAGGTTTTTCTAAAGAAGAAAGTTCTATGTACCTTGATTACTCCATTTATAGAGTGATATTTGCATGTTCATGCAAATTTGAGATAACCAAATTTTGACCCTTAAAATGTCACTCAAATTTGTGGGATTATGTGGCAAAAATGCAAGTTTGAATTAACCAATTTTTTACCTTCAAAATTCAACTAACTCAAACATGATTTTTTCATTAAGTGAAGTCAACATTTTGACTTTCTCCATTCAACAATTAATTTGAATAGTTAATTTCAAATTAAAGTAATATTAAATGATTAATTAAACTATTTAATTAATATTAATTTAAATACCAATCTCAATCCGACACATACGGATTAAAATATTTAAATTTTATTTAAATATCTCTGATTCTCTCTTTTCCTTTAATTCGTAAATAAAACAAAAATGGGGTTAAATATATCGTATATATTAAACGCATATTCCCTAATTTGAATTCGAACACTTCGAACTTACTCGTCATACTGTTCTATGGTTTACTCCGATATGAGTTAGCAGGGGGACCTAATGGACCTATAGATCATGGGCTCCAACGATCCGAGATTAACCAGCTTAACTCATTAACCTTGTTAACCAACATTCCTTAACTACTAGGACAATCCACTATAGCCTAGTAGTTGCCCTCCCCTCACTATAGATATATTTCTGTCCATTTGATATAACCATGATTAGTAAGTCGATCCTTCACAAGTTGTTCGTAACTAGAGCTGGGTCAATTTACTGTTTTACCCCTGAAGTTACTTCTTGTTCCTTATGTCCCACTGATCCTCTAATGAACAATTGGTTTGTGGTCCAACTAATAAACTGAATCCCTCTCAGGCCAATGAGAGGGTGGGGCCCCTTGTTCAAGACCTAGAGTCAGTACTTAAGGGAACTACCTCTCTTCTATCCCTAAAATGGGTAGAAGTGAATTCCATCTTGCACCCCAAGTCCCCAGCCATTCATCTAGTCTTACCCTTGAAATGGGAGGCCTATTGAGTTGACGAACTCGAGCCACTCTCACCTATGCAAATCTAAGGATAATTCTGAATAAACAAGAATTTATGGTTAGCTCAGGATTAAGATCGAGTTACCTAGGTCATTGAATGAACAAAAAATCAGTCTTAACAGTAAACGACAATATAAAGTGAGAGTGATTTTCTTCATGGTCCGATCTTATGCAATACTCATTGCATAGAACGCCCCCACTCACATGTCTCGACATGTACAATTTAGTGATCACATTGTTTATATCATATACAAAAGTGGGCCACATCCATAGTGTCCCTAAGATAAGGTACTCAGTCTTATCCCTGTACTATACATCATTTTGTCTATATACTTGAACTTGATCCACACTTATATCTCTACATATAGTTTAAGTAATCATATTATAGTCAGAGTGTTCTTAGTTTATTGAATTTAGATTAATAATCGTAAAATTCATTTTATTCAATAACAATATTTACTGAATAAACATCAATAATAACTTTATTGAAAATAGAATATGTTTTTGTTTACCAACTATGAGTTTTAGGACATAAAACCCAACAAAATAAATTTAAAGATTAATTTTTTACCGTATAAATATCAAACTTTGAAAGGAAAATATGTAAATTATTTTTAAGCCTACTAAATCAATATAAACATTAATTTTTTACCATATAAATATCAAACTTTAAAAAGAAAATACGTAAATTATTTTTAACCCTACTAAATCAATTTAAACATTAATTTTTTACCGTATAAATATAAAATATGTAAATTATTTTTAAGCCTACTAAGTCAATTTTTAAAGATTAAGTTTTTACCATATAAGTTTATTTATTTCTAACCATCTAGATTTGACCATATCACTGTTATAATATGGAGTGTAAGTGTAATTTATTTGTTGTAATTTATCTTTTTATTATTATTATTATTTATGTCCAAAAGCAACATACCATTGATCACGAGAAACAATATATTAATAAGTTTGACAATTTGAAATATTTCATATATAGGTTGTGCATTAGTATATCAACCACCACACTGAGATTAGAAAATGCAAACACATGCAAGTCTTCTTGTATGTTCACGGTCTTCTTCGTTGATCACAGTCAGCATTAACAACAATTAATTGGCAGCCAACA